AGCTCTTTCCCGTACTACATTTGTACTACAAACTGGCCACTTCTGAGTCCAGCTCTGAAAAGCTCTTTTCCGTACCACATTTGTACCAAAGTACTGCGCCTGCTACGCAATCTACAGTTCGAGGTTCACAAAGTACTGCGCCTGCCACGAAGTCTGCACTTCAAGGTCTGCGCCTTCCATCGAGGTTCACAAAGTGCTGTGCCTGCCACGAAATCTGCACGTCGAGGTTCACCAAGTGTCCAAAAGTCACGATTCACTGCACCTGTCACGAAATCTGAGCTCACCACCATGTCCAAAGTGCGGCACCTGCCACGAAAACTTCATTTTGAAGTAAAACAGCTCCGATCCCTTGCATCTGTCACGAAAAGTCGACTTTGAAGCACCAAAACACGAGGTTTCCCCTGCGCCTGCCACGAAAAGTGACCAGCATGTGCGAAAATGCGCACGGCGCCACAACGAGAGCGCAGTCGTTAGAAGCACCCGCCCGGGGCACCCAGACTGTGTGAGCCTGCGCAGTCGAAATGCGCATAAGAAACAGGTGAAAACTCTAGTTACAATGGAGGGACGATTCGACCATGATCCGAGAATGACGCGAGGCCATTCCGCAACCGTCGTTCTGCAGAGCTAGCCTTGCCAGGTTCGGAACCACCCTTTGTATTTATTGAACAAGATGGAGCGCACGAACCCGAATGCAAACACGTTCGAAAAATGCTTGCACGTGTCATGTTTTTTCTGGCCCAGCTCGCTAACGTCGAGGTTCGTCAGCCACATGGCAAACAAGATCGAAAATAAAGGGCCAATCATTTTTTGACTCTTGCGGGCCGCTCTTGTGGCCACACTTCGACCTTCACCCCCGCTCTCCCCAATTTGCAGTTTCTGCTCCTTCTTGTCCGGGAATCTTGCATGCGACGGCGGAGTGTCATTTTCGGCCAAAAACAAATTGAATTGAACAAAGTTTGCAGAGACAACTTCAGCCTTGCGCTTGTCGACGTGTCATCAAGCGCCACTGTGTCAATGACCGAGTCACGCGACACCGCGTCGGGGAGTAGTAGTAGTAGTAGTAGTAGTAGTAGTAGTAGTAGTGGCAGTGGTAGTAGTAGTGGTAGTAGTCGTAGTAGTAGTAGTAGTAGTAGTAGTAGTGGCAGTAGCAGTGGCGGTGGTGGTGGTAGTAGTAGTAGCAGCAGTAGTAGTAGTGGTACTAAGTAGTAGTGCTAGTGATAGCTTTTGAAAGTCCGTAACACTGAAGTTTTGCACCCTAAACTTGCTTTGACAAGATGTTTTTTTGGCGAATCTTTGCAGCCACATGGCGTTTCTGCAGCCGCACCTTCCCGCTGGCAGTGCGCAATTGGCGATGATTTTCTTTCTGGTGTGCGTTCTGCCTCACACCATCCTCTTTTACGCACGGAAAATTTGTAGCCATGCCACAGGCAGTTGCCTGTTCTATGCGTAGCAAAGGTGCCAGAGGCATGTGCATGTACTTAGTATGGTGTTGCATGTGGGTGTCTCTGTTGCAAAACATTCTTTCTATTCAGTGCAAACCATGCTGTATGCGCAACGAGGCCACATACATAGCAGGACGTTTTTGCAACCGCAACAGTTTTTGCACTTGTAGTGTACGAAGCAGTTTTTCAATGCAGGGCCAAACGTGTTGCATGCGCAAGGCCGCAGGCAGTTGCACTTGCCTGGCAGGATGTGTCCGCACGGGCAACAGCTTTTGCACCTGTAGTGTGCCTTGTGGCCGTTTCAAAGCATTCAGTCTACACTGCGCAGAACACGTCTCATGAGCAGCAAGGCAACAGGCAGTTGCACATACCTACCAGGATGTTTCCGTACTGTTGCACTTGTGGCGTGCTTTCTCGTCCTGTTGCAACTCATTCCTTCTACGCAGTTGTTTTGGGACCAACAGTGACCAACAGTGTTGCAGGTGTTTGTGCATAACCTAGCAAACACCTTTGTCGAGAACGATGTTTTTCTAGTTCTGATCCGTTTTTTGGTTCGGCCCATTTCGGCCTTTCTTCCCTTTCTCTCCGCTTCAGGGAAGCAGGGATGGATGGCCCTGACCGGGTTTGCCTTCCTTGGCGCAGGCATGTGCACTCTGTGCACCTCAGAGGGCTTCAATTATATTTAATTTAAACTTAATTCCAATATTTTTTTGTTACTAGTAGTAAGGCACTTGTTACTACTAGCGAGGCACTTGTTACTAGTGTTTGCACAGAGGGCTTGCGCTCATTTTCGTTCAACAAGTGGTGACAAAAAGTCTCGCAGGCGTCCGATTTAGGGCTCGAGCGCCCAGTTGGGCGCATCTTGCTCGCCTTCTGCCGCGTATGTCGCGGCTCCTCTGAATCGGGGCGCGCAAAGCTTGCAAACAATGAAAGGTGCACAAGTGCACAAACACAAAGTTTGTCCATATGATGGGCAAAAGCAGGTGGTAGGGCTTGGTAGGGGTTACTCTGTGCAGGGGCAAAGGCACAAAAACGTGTGCGTATGGCTGCATTTCACTGCATGCGTGCTGTACGCTTGCCGATCCTGTTGTCACATGGCTGAGGGGCATGAGGCAGTCAGGAGCTTGGTGCCTGCGATTGTAGATACGAGGGGTGCTGAATGGTCAGTTTTGTGTTTGTTGTCAACTTCCGAAAACTAGAAACCTGCGCAAAACAGGTGGTTGCCCTCATAGAAAGCAGATCACGCGAGGCAAGAACCCTCACATACCAAAAAGTTCTTTTGTCCAGACTGTGGATGGTCCGTTCAGTTCGGCATGGTATTGTTTGTAGAAGCTTTCAGTACCAAAAAGAAAGAACACACACGTACTGAAAGCTTTGGTTACTTTCCGTTTCCTTTCTGTTGTTTTTTCTTGCCGGGAGGTGGGCTTGGCTGGAGTGTGCTGTCGGCACTTCTGGCTCAGCTTGATGTGCGCTTCATCATACGGAGTTTCAAAACTTCGCCAGGTCCATGGAGTTTGAGTTGACGCAGTTCAGCACGGCACTTATTTAACGGAAAAGGGCTTTACACAAAAACACCTTAAACGATATTTATTTTTACAAGCCAGAAGCTTGTGCTTTGTAACAGCAAGCAGAGAAGCCATGTGAGGCGACACAACTTCATACAGGTGCCGGAACCCGGATGTGTTTTTCTTTGTGGAAAACGGGGAGAGAAGAGGCCAAGGCACCATGCAGTCAGGGCTCAGGAGAAGAAGAGACAAGGTTTCAGGATGTCCCAGGTCTGACATTTACAGAAAACAAACTGGGACGAATTTTGCCTGAGGGGACTCGTGACAAATCTTTCTATTCCAGATGAATTCACGGTACACGCGCAGCTGCTGCAGTCGGACTACATCAGCCGTCCTAGCTGCAGACCCATCTGCTGTGCTGGTCAGCGAAAGCCTCAGGAGAACAGGGCAGGTGGAGAAACCAATGTAAACCGCCCTCAAATACAAAATATGGGTATGGCCCCCGTCGCCCCGGAAAATATGTCACATCGGATCTCTTGTGCAGTTGGGATGAACATGTGGGCATGTCACACGTCAAATCCATTGGATAGTTGATGCTTTGGCTCCGCAGTCTGCTTGTCTAAGACCATGTAGCCAGGACCTTCACTTAGGAGACTACTTGGCAGCTCAAGGATCAAAGATCTAAAGAAACCCGGACAATGCGCCCACATTTTTGAACCCCATACTTGCGAGGTTTCAGGCAGAGTAAATAGTTTAGAATTGCGAGCAGGACTCTGACATGCACCTGACAGGAAGGTTTTATCACGAAAGCTAGCATCAGCTAGCTGGAGTTGCTCTTGCTTTAGCAAGTCAAGGGCTCGCAGCCTCGAGAATCATGAATCACGTGAAAACTTCACGTGTAGGGGGGGGCCCCCCCCCCCCCGCGGGTTCAACTCCCCCCTGGGACGCTTCCGGTACGTGCTATAGTGCTATGTTTAGGTGGCAGGTGAAGTAGGCCACTGTTTGAGTTTGGAAGGGGGGGCATGAAACATGAAATTTAGGCGAGGGTTCAAGGCTTCAATGATGAGCATCACGGGAAGTCAGAAACCAGGCATATCAGATACACATGCCTTTGAGCTTCCTTCGGCATCTCAGTGCATATGGCTGACACTTCACTCGACAAAGATGCTCAAACAAACATACATAAACCAGGTGTATCTGATACGCCTGGTTTGTGACTTCCCGTGATGCTCATGATGCTGCGTTGCTTTTCTTCAGTCCCTCGTTACATATACATGACGATCCAACAGCAGATTCAACAAGCTCACATGTTCATGACATCGACATCGATAGAAGAAACCAAACAAATCATGCAAGCAGCTTTGTTTTGCCTCTGGGACACCTCTTGGGCACCTCTTATGGCATCCACACTGGTTCAACTCCTCCGTGGAGGTTTTGGGATACGGATGGATACGGTGCAACAGATTCAACAAGCTCACAGGTTCGTGAACACATCGGATGCATCGAACAGTGTGGCAAAGTCCAGCCACGCTTCCTTAATTATCGGGGACTTCAATTCTAAGGTTGGCTGTGTCATTGCTGTTTGTGTGTCTTACATCTTCACAACGTTTTACCTCATGAGCATTTGCCTCACTCCGCTTGATGTCCCATCAGTCCGGATGCACCCCTGCTAGCTTTCGTCACCTACCCTCGGCCTCAAGTTCATGCTCAAAAAGGAGCGTCCTGTGCGACACAGGTTATGAGCCCAACGCGGCTCACCTAAGACCACCCTGAAGGATCAGGTCATTGGCCGCCATGGAGTCAGAAAACAAGGGTGGCAGCAGAACTGCAACATGGTAGCTGCCGCACAAGAGCGACTTGCAAATGGCCCCTGAGGACTCAGAGCTTAGTGCACATGGAGGTGAAGGGTCGGAGGAACTGCAAGTTACAAGATCCTCAACTTCCAGAACTTAGTGAAGAAGGGATGAAGTGCTCAAGAGATGGGGCGACCGGCAATCAGTGCAAGTGAAGAGATGAGCCGAGATCAGAGTGATCGCTGGACACAAGGGTTGAGCGCAGTGTGTCCAGTCCGGCATCGTGATCACACCTGGCTGCCCACCAGCTGGGAGTCAAAGGGTGGGGTCGGCTCGCCGATGCCGCCAACATCTTGTGTGTTGGGTTCAAAGAAGGAGCAAGGAGAACAGAAGGCCAACTCCGTTCGAGCAAAATTCCCTGTCCTCAGACGCCTACAACAGTTATGTTCATGCCAATGAAGCCTTCTGTCGAACATTGTCGTAGAAAACCGGGAGGCGCGCAAGTCCCACTAGGGACACCTCCTCTTGAACAGCAGGGCGCGCAAATGCAGTGAGAGACCGGAATTGCTCCCTTGACCATGGACGGACAAAGGGGCTGGAAAGTGGCCCAAGGTTGCGGTTTCTTCAAAGTTGACCAAGTCACCACGAAGCTGAAAGCAACACGATGCATGACCGCCAAGTGCAGAACAGATGCAAAGGCTGGAGGTCTTGTTCTAGTTGCCAAGCAGGGTCCAGTAGGAAGTTAAAGCTAAAACGCAGGTATGCAGTGCAGCGTCCTCCACTGTATCAGCGCCAACTGATACACTTCGTTGGACGGGCCGTATCAGCGGTGTCCCGTCCCCCTGCTAACGTTTAATATCAAAAGAATCACTGTGATTCCAAGGGTTTCACACCCCCCCACATGGGGGGGCCCGAAATCTAAGGGGCAGACTAATGCGCATGCAAGTGTGTGTGTGTGCCCCTTGTAGTCACAGGGATTCCGTTGAATTGTTCTCTTTTCTTTTCTTTTTCAGCAGGGGGCTGGTTGTTCATGCAAGTACCAGCCCAACGAAGAGGCTTGCGTTGAACACTGATATCGGTGAGGATGCTCACCGACGTACCTGCTTTCTTTGGAAATGGTAACCTAGGCCGGCGTGTGGCACCGCTGTCAAGTCAGTACGCGTATCCATAAGTGTGTCTTTTCCAGTGAGAGTCCGGGATGAGCCCGTAGAGTGCCTCCCGTGGACCCGTCGAACGGGTGTCTGTCGTTATCTCCCTGGAGATGTACGTGTCCGGAGTGGACAGTAGCTGGCTCATGCCACAAGAACTCAGATTTTTGTCTCATGATTGGAATTCCAAGTTGGCTCATGCCTTTACGCGACCGCAGCGGTCTAAGCTGGCTTAACGCCTCAACGTGGTCAGAGCGACCGAAGTACTTTTGAGGTTCGTTGGAACCTGTCCCACTCTCAGGTGCACACACAGCATTTACATGCAAACGAGGCAAGGTCTTCCTAGGTGTTTCTAATGAGGTTCGGCTTCATCGGTTCTCGTCCCCTCCATTTGGTTCTCCTTTTCATCCTTTCCCCTTTTACACACCTTTTGTTTCCTCTTTTCTTTCATGTCCTCCTGTCTTCATGTCTGGTCATCTCATCCTTTTCTTAGTTTGCGCGCACATTGGTCCCGGCCTTGGTGTGTACGTGCACTTCTACATACCTTTAAACACAGGTTTCAGGTCGCCCAGGTCTTTACAATGAGGTGGGCTTCATCGGGTGTCCCTGTGCACTTGGTTCCCCTTTCATTTCAACCACACGCACCTTTGTCCCGTCTCGTCCTCTTGTCATGTCTTCATTCTTTTGTCTCTTGTGCGCGCGCACGTGCACATTGGCCCTCACCTTAGCTTCGCGCCTCCCCTCGAGGAGGCGTGTGTGTGTATGCCCGTTGTAGTCACAGGGATTCCGTTGAATTGTTCTCTTTTCTTTTCTTTTTCAGCAGGGGGGCTGGTTGTTCACGCAAGTACCAGCCCAACGAAGAGGCTTGCATTGAACACTGATATCGGTGGGGACGCTCACCGACGCGCGTGCTTTCTTAGGAAATGGTAACCTAGGCCGGCGTGTGGCACCGCTGTCAAGTCAGTACGCATATCCATAAGTGTGTGTCGCACCCTGTTTCGAGGGGTCTCCCACTGTTTGTTTCAACCATGAGCAGGGGCGTGCAGCATCTGGGATCTACTGAGCGCAACGAAGCTATGATCACAGATGGGAAGGGATCAAGGACGCTTGATCCTGTACCTGCTCGACAACACACGGACTCCACTGGTCCACCCTCTCGCGCTGTTTTCCAGGTATGATAGGTTGCTGCCGCGCGAGTTTTTGCTTTGCATTGTTCAAACACCTTCAAGTTGACCGACCCAGCATTCTTGCGGTTTGCGCTAACTCTAGAGTCAAGCGCTGTGCGTAACTGATAACCACTGGACATTATGTTCCCTCACCGGAACTTTGAGTCTAAGTGACCTGCTATAGTGGGATCCCCGCAAGGGGGGGCTGAAGGCAGCGTGTGAGACATTTTCTGAAATCTCGTCCATACACAGGAAGCCATTTCCTAAACAGCGGACTTTCAAGGAACATATGTTCATTATGCCGCCGGGCCTACGGTACACCTGCAACTGATTCTGCTTTTTCAATCACATTCGTCATACTGCGTGATTTTCCATCGAGATGTTGAACGACTCCTTTCAGCGGACGCTTGGAATTCATATTTCCCCGGCTTTCCACCGCTTTCTCTCTTGCGGTTTTCCTCGGTTTTTTTTAGGCTCGTTAAGTTGCTCTTGAGGCTCGTTACTTGGACCTGCGGCCTCCTAACGGCTAGAGATGATCAGACCTCCTTATATACCTGCTTTCTCAGGAAGCTGGGTGCCTAGGTTGGCGAGTGGCAAACCGCATTTCCTGAGTGTGTCTCTCCTTACTGAGAGCGCACGGTGTAGCCGAGGAGGGTTCCTGTGGCCCCGTCGAACTGGGGTTCGTCTCTGTTTCCATTGCTCGGAAACGCGCGTGCCCACAGCGGGCGGAGTAGGCTTGAGCCAAATTTTGCCAAGGCTTACTGAATTATTGAATACGAGTAGTAGGCAGCTGTCGAGCAAGCCCTGCGGTGACCATAGCCATAGCGGTCAAAGCAGCCAGCAGGGCCCGAGTAGACCGCAGCAGTCGCAGAACTTTTTGACCCATTGGGGTCAGTCGCAGCCTTAAGTGCGCACCCAGCAAACACATTTCAAACCAGGCTAGGTCCACCTAGGTCCCTTTTCATCCTTCCCTTCACATACACTTTCTTTCCTTTTTCTTTTCTTTCATGTCTTTATGGCCTCATGTTTCGTCGTCTCATCCTTTTTCTCTTTGCGCACGCACTGGTCCGATCCTTAGTGCGCGCGCCCGTACACGAAACCCAGGTCTGAGGTCGCCCAGGTTGTTTTTAGGAGGTTTGGCTCGTCTGGTTGTTCCTGGTCACTTGGCTCCTTTTTATCGCCGAATCGCCGCCACATACACTTACACCTTGTCTGTCTTGTCTTCCTGTCATGTCCTCATTTTTTTTGGTCTTTTTGCGCGCATTAGTCTAAACCTGAGTTTTCCATGCCTTCCCTTGTGGGGCGTGTGTGTGTGTGTGTGTGCGTGTGTGTGTGTGTGAGTGTGTGTGAGTGTGAGTGTGTGTGTGAAACCCTTGGAGTCACAGGGTTCCCTTTGAATTTGTTTATTTTTTCTTGCAGCAGGGGACCAGGCAGGATACATCGCCGCCTGGTCAACGAAGCTGGCGATGTAATTGAAAAGGGACGCCGTTTGAATTGTTGCTCACGCTGTGACTCTTCTTTTCCATAAAGGGCTAATGCATTCTGGAGATGTGGACGCAAGCCGTCATTTCACCCTGTCGCCGCTTCCTTACCTCGTGGATTGGACCCTTGGCCTCCTAATGACCAGAGATGATCAGACCCCCTGAGCTTCTTTGACACTGATTTCCCTGGCATGAACTTTACAAGCAGGGGCGTGTGGCACTCTCGTCCTACCACACAACGAAGCTGTGGGCGAGAGTGGGAAGCAGGGACTTGCCTGCGATGTTTTTCAACTTTTGATCAAGCTGTTACTCCAATCTACCGGTGAATCGATGTTCAAACCATGCAAGTGTGCTGTCGCACCATGTTGATACCTCACAGCCCCAACTTAACACACACACACACATATAGCATTGCGTACTGAACTGAAAGCCACACGTGCCACACGCCCACCTAGGTGTGAACGCCTAAAGGGTTCAGGTTAGGTGGTAACTGAAGAACCTTCCAAGGAACCTCCAAAGCCCAGGAGCTTCAACTGCGGAAGCGCGACAAGTTGACGGCGTCCGTGCACATCTGCCGACCTGAGAAAACCTAACCAGCCTGGTCAGCTAGAGGAGAAAGTGATCACCGAACATCACGCTTCTGAAATTGCAGGTGCACAGATTGGCCTCCCAATCTGCTTCACGGAGTATTCGCAGCTGTCTTCGTTGGCAGCAGAACTGTGGACTCCCTGCTGCCCCCTGCTAAAGGAAATTCAAGGGGTAAAACAATCCAAACGGAACCTCGTGATTCCAGAGGGTACACAGTTTTCTATTAAGCTCCGGACGAGAGTCAAGTTATAGGTGAAAGGTGAGCCTAAGAGAAACGGTGAATCTCACGGAATGTCTGATAGGCCGTCAGGGGTAGACGAAGTTGTCCAATGGCGTCATCATGAAGTCGTGGTGCAATCGTGTGCAAGGGACGGTATGCGTGTGCGGTGTCCTCTTGTGAGAATTCATGAATGTATCCGATGGGTCGGAGGCGTCTCGAGTTCACGTAATAGAGCACCAAGTTCTCCAATGTCTCCCAGACCCGTGAATCACCAGAAGACGGTAAAGCCATCCAAAAGGATTGACGGCTGTGGCCGAGGCGGGAAAAGATCACATCTTTGAGATCATCGACCGTGTATTCCTTGTCCTCAATCTGAGCTGCAGTCAGAGTCACGGTGATGTAGTTCAGCGGCTGGTCGACCAGGAGGCTAACGTCAAGTTCAAATCGAACGGTAAGCAAGTTGGGGACTTAAGGTCTGAAAAGGACGTCTCACTTCATTCCAATCTGTGGGGATAGTTTGAGCAAGAGGTTCGGGAGCGCGAAGTCCAGAAAAGGCGATCATGTAAAGGGGATAGAATCTGTGGGAGAATCCTAGTGGGGTAGCGAGTCGAAATCGAGGACGAATAAAGCTGAAATGGCTACGGTCGTCAACGTGGGTGGGTCAAACGGGCGTGGGATCAGCGGAAGCAAAGAGAAAAAGGTAAACCCGTAACAAAGTGGAAAGTTGTTAACAATGAGAACGGGTTCAGGAAATTGTGTTCTTTTTTGAGATCCGCGGCGCCGCAGAAGATCGCAATGATATGGGGAAACATTCATTACATTCAAAAGTAGGAAGCGCGTACGGCCCCCAAAGACATACAAATTGTGGCACTCAGGCAATCAGGCGTGGTCCTCTGCGGTGTTGGGGTATGGAGGAGATACGTAGGGGGTGGAGGAAATCGAAGAGGACGTCAGCAACATAGATCCCGAATCCTGAGCTCGGTACTGGAACGTCCGTGGCTGGTACAGTAGGATCAAGAGGTGTGTCCGCGCCAGCAGCCTGGGAGGGGCCTGCAGCCTGAGAGGGTCCCCGACGTGGAGCCGAAAGCTGGGCCACGCAACCGCAGCGGCGCTCAAATCCTGCTGGTACCTGGAGAGGTTGTGGATCAAACCATCAACAAGCTGACGCTGCAGATCAGGAGTGAGGCTTCGAAGTTCAGGATTACCAGAAACTTCGAGGTCAGTGAACCGTTGAACCAGATTCTGCACCAAAAGATCCAAACGTTCATTCTCCAAATTTTCGATTGCTTGACGTTTCACACCCCGAGGATGAGAATCCAAGGGAGCACGCTGTTGTTGTGCCATAAGCCGTTGTTCCTGTTCATAGACAGCATGTTCCCAACGATCACAAGCTTCCCAAATGGGAAGGCTTCCATAGTGAAAGTCATGCCATCTCGTGTAGGGATGTTGGTCATCCTCCGGATGGTCCCAAGCGATCGTGTAGGAGTGGAACCAACTGCGGTAGAACCAATGCCGACTTGTGCCCACGTCTCAACAAGTCCATTCTTCGCGCGGTGGTGCAGTGAAGAAAGGTGGAAGTCAGCTGTCTCAAGATTAACAAGAACACCTCCAGGACCAATGGGCAAAAGGAGGCTGGTGGGATCTTGCGCGTTGATGTCAGTTTGTGGAGGGTTCGTTGAAGACGAAGTAGCCATAGCGTCAGCAGTGTCGGTGACGTGGTCTGGCGTCGTAGTGTCAGCAGCTTCCAAAGAGAATCATCAAAGAGAAGGAGGAGGAGGCGGTGGTGGAGCGAAGTCCAAGAACTCGAAGGAAGAAATGCTGCGGAGCGTGAAACAGTGTAGGTAGGGTAAAACGGGTAAAACGGGAAACCCAAGGAAGTGGAGAGTGAAAGGTAAAAACACACCTTTGCAGTCGCCCGGGTGGGTCGCAGAGTGAAACGTAAACTTGAATTATTTATCCATTTTTGCCTCGGGCAAACAGAAGGGCAAAGATGGTCGAAATCGTACATGTTCACCTGACGGCTTGACCAGGTGGCCAAAGAGCCCCGAAGCCAATGCAGTCTCGGTAGTCGAGGATGAAGATGAAGATGGTCGCCCGGAAGGGTGATGGACGGGGTCGGTCGGAAGTCCCTGTGATCGCAAGGTAGAAGGGGGCGCCGTGGGTCGAGCTTTCATGGGAAAGGTGGTGGAGACAAGCTCGGAGGTGCCATACATCGGCGTGGTCGTTGGGCCGTGGTAGGTATGGATGTAGTTGATGCCGTCAAAGCAGTCGAAGAGGATATCGCACGGGAACCAACGGTTGAAGCGGTCGTGGATGGGGGCGGCGTGAAATTGACGAGAAAGGGGAAACTCGGGAGAGAGAAATGGTTGCGGAAGTTAGGCCGAACATATTCAAAAATGTTAAAAAATGTAAGTCGTACATGTGAGGTGTGGAAATAGTAGTAGCCATTGCAAACTGACCCGGTCAACATCCAAAAGGTTCCGTCACGATTCGTGACATGCAAGGGGAAGGGTAAAGATCCTTGGAAAACAGGGAAATAGAAACCTCCCGCAACTCGAAGAGAGTTCAAGGGGATTGGATACAAGGGATCTCTCATTAGTCCATGGTCACGTCGAAGCTTCCGGGTCAGGAACAATCGCACGTTGAAAAAAGCTCCAAAAGATCTGCCCATCGCGCTTGTATCTGAGAAAGCCGTCGTTGCATTTTCCTTGCGACATATTGCCAGCTTGGGCGTAGGCGTTCGTTGCACTTGAGGTGAGGAGAAGGTCATCATCATGGGCGCTCCAATCGTCATGAGGAGGAGAAGGAGGGAGGGCTTGCGATTCAATACATCGATCAAGCGGACTTCCTCGATGGGTTGATGATCAATGTGAAGATCACGGCTCCAGGCAGTGGCGATGACTCGACGGGGAAAAGTCAACTTGTACTCCTGATTCCGATCCAAGTAGATCTCGTCGGGTTGCCAAGCCTTGGGGATGGAGTACCGGGATTCAAAAGTACTGGAAGTGGCAGGGGCTGATTCAGGAAGTAGAGAACTATCTACGTGGGAGAACAGTCAATACACATGTGTGGTAGACTCGAATTGAAAATCGCTCAACTGGACAGAAGACTTGAATTATTATTGCCAACAGTAGAGAGAGAAAGAGAGAGAGAGAGAGAGAACGATATGAGCAGATACTTGAAACTGCAGAAGAGAGAAGAAATCACTCAGATAGAGTGCCATCAGAAAGCTCCAGGAACCCCATTCTTGACAATATAACAACGCAACATGAGGATGATGAAAATAGAGTGAGTCATGGTGGCAGAGTGAGCTCAAAGTAGAATTTCGATCGATCACGCTACCAAGAAGGAGTGTGAAACATTTTCAGGGTAGACTACAACACAGATATGTTGCACCACTAGCATTGCTGATTGTACAATGTGCTTGACGGAAGCCCTGTTTGGATTAAGGAAAAAGCTCGCAGTATACTATATTGGATCGTGACCTCTAGTGCCTACACTTCTCAGAACTTGAAAAGTTTTGCGCAACTATCAGATGGAAGGTCCACACATGTATGTGCATCCAGTGATAAGCCAGTGGTACATTCTTGTGCCATAGCTCTACAATGAGCGTGAAAGTGCACATACCCCTCTGTCGTGCAAACACATTCGTATAGTTTTGAGGAGATGCTTGCAGTCCGACGCGCAGGATCTTGTCCTCGTTGGTTTCCAGGCCAAACACCTGGGCTCTCGGCCTCACATCGGAGTCGCACCCGCCCGGTTTGCCGCCACCTTTCCTGTGTCGGCATTGGATCGGCCATCAACGTCCATCGCTCGACCATTGTAGTAGAAAGTGTGCGCAGATGGGCGAATAGTTGTGGCAACAGACTTCGCCTAGCTCCACCTTTTCAGTGTCACCGGGTGCGGCAAAATTACGTCTGCGAGGCCATTGTGGTTTGGCGCGGCTTCGTGCTTGGCGGCGGGCCATAGTGTGCTTATGTAAAACCCGCGTGGTGCTGGTGATTGGAATGATTGGTTGAGGAGGCTTGTTGCAGCTCAGCTGCGTCCAGTATGAGGTGCGTGGTGTTGGCGACTTACCTTTGTGATGTCACTGAGCCATGGTTTGGCAACGCTTTTGTGGACAGTGTGTGCGCGTTGCTGTGGCTCCGGTATTTGATGCAGACAGGACTTGCTATTGTGAACGCATGTATCGCACCTTCCTCCCTGATAGCTGCAAAGTGCTTGAAGTCGCCAAACATGTGGTGTCACAGAGGGTTACAGCGGGTTACCTGGTTACCTTGTAAAACATGTTTGGAAGATGTCTCGGGTTGCTGATGCCAAAGCTGTCCAAGCACATGTCACATTTGGCTGCAAGGTCGGAGCGCTCGTGGAACTCAGCTTGTCCAAGTGCTTGAAAAGGCAAGAGCTGTAGAACGTACAAAACATAAGTTTAGAAGATGTTGAGTAATGGGCAACGTTAATCATGCGTGGTGTTGTTCGCAAGTTCTTCCAAGCTTTTCAGCTTCTGTTTTGTTCATGTTTCCCATGCATGTTCGGACAGACTACAATTACACGTATGATTCAATCATGTTTTGTTTGGATTCTCATTTAGATTCGACCACTTCGTCGATCACTTGAGGCAGCAATTCCGCTGACGTTCTTGGAACGGCGGCACTTTGATGAAGCAGAAGGTCAAAACATCCTGGAGGAGGAAAGACACACGGAAACATTTGCTCCACAGCTCGTGTTACCTCGTGTTACACGTAGTGGGACACCATCGCCCATTTTAGATAAAAACACATTGAAGCAGTGTGAAGTCACAACTAGTCACTCAAGTGACTCGGTTTTGAAAGAGAGCTAGGTTATTCATTAAAAAAGACCATTCTTTGAGCTGCCTCGAGGCCATTGTCGTAGGACTACAGCAAGCGGACTATGCATCAAAGTTTGCAGCCATGGCCAGCTTCAATGCGTGGCGTGTCTGCAAAACAACTTCAAACACCATTACAAGAAAGGGTCATGGTGGTCAGATTAAAGATGCTCCGTACATGCCATGCATTCCAGACTCCAGAACCCCAGGAATGGGCAATTCTTTTTCCAATTGCTTGGGTACTGTGTCCGTATGATTTTTCTTGTTGTGCTTTTGTACTCGTCACCAGGTTGTGGCGTTACGTTGAGTCTGGTGATGTGCGCCTCCAAGCGTGCAGCTGCAAAGTCACCTTTCGCGCTACCCAGATGCAGAAATGGGAAAGAATCTCTGCGTGGCAGAGTTTGACTGAAAAAAAATATGATAGGAAAATGCAGACAACCAAGAGTTCTTTCTGTAAAATTGTTTGCATTGGACCTGACTGGACTGACAGACCCCTCACTGCGATTTCCTCCACAGATGTCGACTCTCTTTTTTTGCACCTCGGCCAATGGCCCTAACGGTCCCTCAGCGGGCCCCTTGA